TCTCTCTCCCGCCTCTGTCCTCTGTGCAGGGACGCGACGTCCTGCAGGGCTCTGCACTGTGCGATCCGGCGGCTGGCAGAGTCTCAGCCCAGCGCCACGGCAGCCAACCTCCTGCACAGCCTGCAGACCTGCGGCGTGATCAGCAAGACGGGCATGCCCAGGTGAGCCCCCGCGGGTGCCGGTGTTGGCTGGGCTGTGGGGCAGGCAGGCAGGCCCCTGCCCAGCTCCGTGGCCTGGCGGCTCCCTCACCGGCTAGGCCTGCTGATCGCTGGCCGTGACTGTAGCTGACTGGGCTGGGTTATCAGTGACGTCCCCAGCCCTGGCCTCACACCCTCTCCCCTCCCCCTCCCCGCAGCAAGAGCTCGGCCCCAGCGGCCTCGCTGGCCCTGTCCTGGACCTGCCTGCTGGTGCGCGCCGTCTTCCCCTCCCCCGACAGCCGAGAGGGCCCCACCTGGAAGAAGCTGGTGAGTCTGCACAGCCGGATGGGCCAGACTCCTCATGCGCAGCACGCTGAGCCGTTCCGGGTTTTACTGGGCAGTAGAGAAGGCGCAGGGATAAATCGGACTGCGTGTGAAAGAATCAAGTAGTTCTGCAAGACCACAGCAGAAAGAAGTGCATTTTTCTGAGAACTGAGGTCAGAGGAGCTGGAGAATTACTGAATGTGGGTATTGTCTCCTTATATACTCTGGGAAATGTGCCTTTACTTACACTTAAGACGCTAAAATGTGTTGTAAAACGTCTAGGTTTGGAGAAGATAATTGTGGGTAGTGATCTTTCCAATTAGTCAAGACAATTAAGATGTCCCTGAAACAAATGCAGCACATAAAAGCTACGATTCTCCATGTTCCCTTGTCCTGAGTGTCTTTTTCCTAGTAGCTCTCAGCAGGTTGTGCGCTTATGAGCACGTTTCCTGGGCTTTCTTGAGGGAGAGCTGGATTAAGGCGAGGATTAGTAACTAGTGTTGTCTGAAACGCCTGGTGTTTTCTGCCCATGAGCCGGCACAGGCAGGGAGTCATGCTCATCGCTGGGCTGTGCTGACGGCTCTGTTTTTGCCAGGTGGAGGTGCAGAGTCTGCTGCTGTCCGAGGTGCTGGGAGGAGCACGCAGGAACACTGTCGCGTCGGCCCTGAAGAGCCTGCATCTGCTGTGGACACAGGTGAGGGGGCGGGGCCCG